TCTTTTTCAAAACCATTTTGAAATTCTATGTGAATTTCAAAAACAAAACAAAAAAAAGTAGTTTTCAAAAACAGGTTTTTGTTTTTCAAAATCTGGATTTTTCTTCTAATACTCCACTTTTTTTTCTTATATTTATCTCTAGAAAATTTATTTCTCACTCTAAAATTTATTTCTTTCTAAATTTCTCTCTACAAAATCTATTTTTCTCTCTTTAAAATTTTCATATTTTGAATATTTATTATTATTTGTCTATCCAAATTTTTTTTAGATATTATGAATTTTATTGATATTATGAATGTGTTAATTATTTAGATAAAAATAAAATCATAAGTAGGATTGGTTATTTAATTTAAAATATTATGAGATAATTATAAAATATAATATTATTGTATTTTTAACTTACATAAATTACTTCAATAATTATAATACTTAATTATATTTAAATTCTGAATATTAAAAGTCTTGAAATCTCTAAAATTTTATGCCACTTTTTTTCTTTTTTAAGTTTTGTCACTATTTTATTTTCTATAGCCACAAAATGACTTTTTTTTCACTCCTTTCCTGAGTCATATATATCTATATATAATCTATACTTCTCTCTCGATTTTTTATATTTTTGTTTCTAAATTGAATAGAGTTGAACTATATACAGTAATTATTGTGTAGCAATCTCAAATATTGGTGAGAGGTAAATTTCTATTTTTCTTTTTAATTATATGTCCATTGATTTTTATCTTTTTTATGGATTATTATTCTTAATATGATTTTTATAATTAATCTTAAAATTAGTTTATTATTTTAAATTTTTATGCATGTTTTTAATTTTTAAAATTTAAATTTTAGTTAAATGACGTTATCAATGTTTTGAACAGCAAGTTTGATAAAATGTTGATATTTTATTTAAAATTAGAAATACACACAAATTAATTTTATTTTTAAATTATATCAAATTAATTAATAATTATTTTTATTTGATTTATTTGGTAGCTTTTCAACCATTTGATTTTGATTCTTGAAGTTTTTGTATGAAAAATATTTTAGATTCTAATATTCTTAACATAATGTTTTTATTATTACACATCTGTCTAATTAAAATAGCTACTTGAATAAAATTTATAAAATAATTTAAATTAAATCTCAATTTTAGAACTGACGTGATTAACCTAATGGTATAGACAACGTTAAAATTCTAGTGAAAAATCAGTCAACAAAATTCAACTTACACAACTTCGTACTTCACAACTCTATTAGTTTTAGCTTTGTTTTTCCTTCTAGCTATTTATATCAAATGATATTTAATTTTATTAAAAACTTCTACTAAATATTTCAAATTTTATTATATTTATATAGATAATTTTTTTATATTTGTTTTGGACAAATTAATCTCAAAATTATTTATATATAAAGTCATAATTTTTAGATTTATTAACGACATTTTTAGTATTTATACTAAACGTAAACTAATATTATACCTAATGACTTTATTATAGTTTAGTTTTCAATATTACTTAATTGGAATGTTTATGAGAATTACATCTAACGTTATATTTGGAAAAAATAATTTTTTTCCCATAAATTGGGTAAGCTTTATCAATTTTGACTCTCCCATATTGACTTACCAAAAGAAATTTGTAAATTTTTGGGAGAGAACGACTCACACTGCATGCTATTCGATAAATAAAATCTATCTTGATTCTGTAATTGACGTTAAAACTCTATTATAGCTTCAATTTGTACCAACATTATTTGATTTGACACATTTTAGAGTATGTTTAGTTGATAAATATGATTCATGGCACTTGACTATGGCACTTGACTAAAAATTTTTAAATAGTGTTGCACATTATTGAAATCCAAAATTCAACAAAATTTTTAAATGATTTCTCTTCTTCATAAAAGTTTGGGAGAATGACTGTTGGCAGCAAGAATCCTGTTTCCAAATCCAAGTAATTCTTTACTTGTATCATCTCTATGAACAATAGCCTCTATGAAGCATAAGCTGTCTTTTTGATCTTCAATTGCTGTCTCAATTGCTATCATTAACTCTTCTTCTGTTTGAACCTGTAAGCCAAATCATTAAAATTTTATTATAAATTTAGGTTGAAAAATGAAAACTAAATAATTTTGATGATACTTCTCTCTCGATTGACTTATTCATTTAACATTGAGAAAACTAGTAAAATACGGTCGATATGATTTGAACTTGGATGACACCAAAGAAATTTGTTGTATTGGAACATTTTTCTGGCTTCTCAAGATAAAAGATAAAAATTCATTAGAGAATGAAGACATCTTTTGCAAAAATGGTATTGAGATTTTACTTTGGCAGTCCAACACTTTCCATCATGATTACGCATGGCGTGTACGAACGCAGTGTAGTCCCAATTCTTGATGATATTATAAGGGCCATCATGAAGCTCTACTTCAATGGTGTATCCACCATTATTTATCAAAAATATTATGTTTCTTTGCCCCAACCTTAACATCGTTGACACATCTTGTGGACTCATCTGCACACAAAATTGTTTTTGCTACTAAAAGTTTAAAGATCAAAAATTAAAGTAAGAATTTCAAAATGAAATAAGCTTAGACCTGAAAGCTCCCATCACCAATGCAAAGAACCACTCGCTCGTCGAGTGCAGCTTGTGCATACCCGAGAGTTGCACCTAGAGACCATCCAATAGATGCATATTGTAATTGCACCTCGTACCTACATTTTTGTTCAATATTATTTCATATTGTAAATAGATTTTTTAAGTTCTTGAGTTTAAATAAAGAAAATGGTTAGTAAATTTAAAAAGAAAACTGATTTTTTTTACCCGCATGATTGTGGTAATTTAAGTTTTTGACACTGAAACCAAGAGTCGCCTGTCTCAGAAATCACAGTCATGTTACCGGTCAACATTTTCTGGATATGTTGGAAAAGAACGTTGGCCCGCAAGGCCTCGCCCGGCTTCGACTGGAGGGGACCCGACTCCGGAATATAAACCCGACGATAATTCTCATAAGCAGTTGGGTTGGGCTTTAGTCGCTTGGCCAAAGCCCAAAGGAAGTCCTTCATCAATATGGGCCCAAAAGAGGGCCCATTAGGAAACACGACGCGATTGGGCTCTACAATAATGGCCTTGTTCTTTTTGTAGGCGAGCGAGAAGGCGACGGTTTCGACGTCATTGAAATTGGGGCCGGCGAAGAGCGAGGCGTCGGCGATTTCCACCGTCTCGCCGCAGAAGGCGGAGCTGACGGCTCCCCAGTAAGTGCCGATGAAATGAGGGTGGTTCTCCGGAAACAGGCCTTTCGCCGACGGCGTAAGGGCGACGGCGTAGCCACATGCGTCGGCGAGCTCCACGAACGCCGCCTCGGCTCCGGCGGCTCGCAGCTTCTTCCCGCCGACCAGCACAGGTTTTACGGCGTTATTTAATAGCTGAGCGGCCTTCTCCACAGCCACCTCTAAACCCATCTTGTTACTTGGCCTGAGAAATTAGTTCACCCACGTAGCTATCATAAAATAAATATTTAGTTGAAAGTTTGATTTTTTTTAAATAGTACGGTCTAAATTAAAAAGAAAAGAGGAAAAAAAATTAATCTTATGCTGTATTTAAATAATAATAAAATAAAAATGTTGATATTTTTACAAGAAATTGTTAGAATATTTTTAAAATTATTATAATAATAGGAGGTAGACACATATTAATATGCTTATATTCCTAAACTATATAACGTTACAACACGTGCCATGATATAGTTAAATAGACCATGGAGTATGGAGTTTCGTTGGGTGTTTTAACTTTTATTTGAGTTATTTAATGCAAGGACTATTTATAATAATATACCGTTGCCAAAAATAATTATAAGTACGTAGAATTAAATTAAATTAGGATGATATTTTTCTTATATAAAAAAATGAGTTTAAAAGTACATGCATTATCCCTTAAAACCTAAAAGGGCACAAAATAGTAAGTCAGCAAAGTTCGGGTCTTTTTAGTTAAGGGAATGTCTGATTTAAGACTTTAAAAGATACCTGTGGATAACACATACATGAGAAGAAGACGTTTGAGAATCAAATGGTATTTGATTGTGATTTGTGCATGTAAATGAAATTTTTGTACGGAATAGATGATATATGTATTTTTTTCAATAGAATTGTTCCTTAAAGTGTTATATAATTATGATACATTAATTAATGAATTAACCAAAATTAATTCAAAGAAATAAATATAAATTAATTGATTATATAATCCATAATTAATAATTTTAATTCAACAATTAATTACAGTTATTGAAAAATAAACTCTTAACTAATTAAAATATATCAATTAAATATATTATTCATCTCAGTAAATATTAAATTGCATTAATTTAACACATCTTTATCAACAAAGATGAGTTAAATATATTTTTAATCAATAAATTAATTACTACAATAGAATAATTAATTATGTTAATTTAATTTAATATATTTTAATAATCAAAATGAATTAAGTAAACATTTCAATCAGCATATATACATTTTTTAGTTGTATGGTTTTATTTAATGTAAACATGAAATTGATTTTGTAATCTTGATTGAGGTTTAAAAAGAGTAGAAATTGAAGTATTACTTGGTAGAGGGAGAGAGTGGGATGAGTGGATGGATTGAGAAAGAGGGATGAGGAATGGCCACCAGATCGCAGCAAATGCTAATGTAAACTGGCTTCCTTTTTTCCAAACACTTGCAAATTGCTCTGTCTATCTCCCACTGTGCCTCTTCAAGATTATCAATAATGGCCTACACACCACAACAAACACACAAACCAAATCAAAATCAATTCAAGTATTGGTCATTTTTGAATCCAATTATATTTTTAGGACAAATATATACTTGCTTACACACTCATTCCTAGTGACTAAAAAATCTAGTGGATAAAAAGTCGGAGAGGGTTAGTTTGATCCTTCAATTTCCCATCACCAGACGGTAAATAATACTGAGTGCCATAAGCCACTTTTAAGAGAACACAAATGGAGAGATTTGTTGTTTTTTATTCTTCACATTTTTTACAAAAATGAAGAAGTCGATCGGGGTCGATTTTTTAATGGTGGTCATCAACAAGATAGATGCTCGCTCCACTATAAAGATTGAACACTGGGAAACCGAGTTAGGGTTCTTACTTAGTGGTGTATAGATAAGTGTTGTCAATTAGGGATGTTTTATGGATTGGGTTGGGTTGAAGTGCTTTTTAGATCTAACCAAATTATTCGAATTGCACATCTATCGAACTTAAATGACCTTTGTTAAACAACAAATTCAACCTAACCAAACAATGAAATAATGTTTGGATTTGGGTGAATTCGGATTATTTTCGTCCCTCATTTAAAATATTATATAACAAAAAAATATATTAATATTAATATGGTAGAAATTTAAAAAGTTATTGGAAAATAAATAATCCGTATAGAACTATTGAATGCGATAAAAATAAAATATATCTATATATAGTTTTATGAGGTATGTTAGTGACCTAGAACAACAAGGCACTCTCCGAGATCATGGAATATGGAATTTTTCGATTAAAATTTCGACAGTAACATCAGTAACATCTTCTCTGATGTTAAGGATCTCACGTTAAAAAAAGATCTAACAATGATTTATAGTAGACATGACTACTATATCGGATGCAAAAATGAGATCCCGTCAATAAATTATTTAAAAATAAATAATAAGTTGAAATAGACTAGTTTTACTTGAATAATTGAAGTGCTTTTTTTTTATCACCCCTATGGTCTGTTACAGAAGAATAGTTGGGGTTTTAGCAGTACCTGATGACACGTGACATTTCGAAAGCAGCGTAGTTCCTGACCGATATCGGGCAACCCAATGGTATGGTGGAGAATCTTTTTACTCCAGTAATCGTTGGAGTTGGGCCCACCCACAATGCACACCACCGGAACATCCTCCGAGTAAGCTCCGGCGACGGCGTTGATCAGGCTCAGCCCGCCCACCGTGAACGTCACGGCGCAGGCTCCCACGCCGCGCCGCCTGGCGTAGCCGTCCGCCGCGTACCCAGCGTTGAGCTCGCTGCAGCAGCCGACGAGATTCAACCCCTGTTCCGCCACGAAATAATCGAGCAGCAGGAGATTGAAATCTCCCGGAACGGAAAAGATATCGCCGACGCCGATTTCAACCAGCCGCCGCCCAAGGTAGTGGCCCACCGTCGATGCGGCGGTGGCCATAGCGCTGAGGCTTAGGAAATTAGGAATCACGAGGCACCCGAAAACCGGAATTTAATTAATGTATCTTGCTACTCTGATCTCAACACCTTGCTCTACGGGGCTCGTAAATTTATAGAAGAATTCGCTAATCATTTATATTTACTTGCATAATACTTGGGAAATTTAGGAGAATATTAGAAATTGGGTGGAAGAATTATAAATTTCTCTTTTTTTTTCTCCAACGAAATATCTAATCTTCTGCATATTGATGACTAATAATTTATTATCAAAAGAATTTAATATTAACCCACGGTGTTGGGCTAAGTTGTAGGGAAATTTAAGCTTAAACTTTGAAGGCAAACACATATCATCATGCAATCCAATTATCAAAATTATAGGGTGAATTATTAAATTTAGAAATACGTGTATATATCACTATATAACTTAATTACGAAAATTAGAAGGTCATTACCAATTCAATAATTATCAAAATTAGGATGTCAAATATATATATATATATATATATATATATATACAAAATGCAACTCAATTATCAAAATTAGAATGCAACTCAATTATCAAAATTAAGAGGTTAGTATATGTATATATCAAAATTAGGATGTCAATATATCTATATCACAATGCAACTCATTATCAAAATTAAGAGGTAAATACATGTATATACTAATTGAAGAAATATCAAAATTAGGAGGTCAATACATGTATGTACTAATTGAAAAAATAATAAAATGTATATACTATATAAAGTAGTTGGATTACGTGTAGATATATTTCTCCCTAAATTACAGGAAGGCAAAAACAAGCTTTTAAACATTTCCTTTCTTCATTTTCCATCATTCAAAGTTACATAATCAAAACAAAATACTAAGTTATTGAAGAGGCAACTCACCAGTGGACTGTCGGTCGATGTGGGATAGATCTCAACAACGACGGTGTGCGGAATGTTGGATAGCGGCATGCGGAGCAGAATTGGTCAACGAGTCATACACCGACGGCAGCTGAACGAAATGAGGAGAAACTGACTGGAATGGGACGAAACTGATCGGTATCAGAAGGAGGCAACTGACCGAAACATGATTGACCGACGCCAGAGTGGGACGGTGGAGGACTACACGTGAAGATGTAAGTTGGGGGAGAGATGAATATGTGGGGCAAAAAGGAGGGGTTGCTACAAAAAACCCCAAAATTCAACTTTCTAAATCCAACCTTCTTCAAACAGTTAGGATCCTAAGTTTTCATAAATTTTACTAGAAATAATTACCCTCCTTGTTTACGAATTTTAGATTTTAAATCTATAAATTTCAAAATCTACCTTAACAATTTTTTTATAATTTTAAAATCTATTTTCATAATCTGGTTTCAAAAGATAGAATATCAATTTTAAGGGGTTTAAATTTGATTTGTCAATTATTTTATTAGATACAGGTTGATTCCCTTCTTATTCGTTCTATCAAATAAATTCTTAAAATTTAGCATATATACCTAATTTTTGTTAAGGGGTATACTGGTCTAAAATATTTATTCAATATTTTAAAAAAAATGTGACTTAGCCATTTATGCAATATCTGATGTATTTAATCATTTTTTAAAACGTCTTATTTATTTTAGCCATTCCTACCTTTGTCCCTAAATTATAAGCCAAGATGAAATCTAAAAAATATCTAAACGTACTTTTTAACTTTTTATTTTAGGACCAGGAAAGAATCTCTATAATACTTCAAAGTATTTGTCAGAATGGTGGTGAGTTAGTTATTAATATTCACGTGGTTCTATCCAAAAACAATTAGTAATGATGGGATATTATAAACTTTTATCTCTTTTTAATTAATATGGGAATCCTTAAAAAGTATCAATTTTTTGGTTTTGGTGCAACAATGTGCTATGCCTCGAACCTTAGTAACCTTTCTTCTCGTGCCACGTAGAAAGTTGTTTAATGCCCGCCAAATTTTTGTCTACTAATATAAGAGAGAAGAAAAATTCTAATTGTTGATCCACATTTATATTAAATGTAATATAGTATGCTAATGAATTAAGAAAAATGCTTTGCCCATTGTGCCTCACATCGACGTCTTGAGTTTGATTCGTCCTTTTACACGTTTTATTTTTTATTTTTTAAATATATTTTCATTGTTTTTATTTTTTAAATATATTTTTACTTCCTACACATATTTTTATTTATTTTTGTTTTCTAAATATATTTTTATTGTTAGTCTCAACTCCAACTTATTTTGATTTATTTAATATATATTTTTATCGTAGTGCGATTGAATCTCAACATTAGCTTATTTTCGTTTTTTTAAATATATTTTTTTCAGGTAAAATAAATAATCTTTAACTGTTATGTATTATTAAGTTTTTCTTTTATAAAATATGTTTAATTAAGTTTATATTATAGAACATATTTCTTTAATAAATTTAAATTTGTAATCCTGATAAATATCATAATGTTTATCACTTTATTCAATAAAAAATAACCATAAAACTCAATTTAATAGAAAGTTTCTTAAACTAAACTTGATTACACTACCATTAAATAACCTGCAAAAACTTACAAAGTTAAGTAGAGAAAAAAATATTTAAATATATATTTTTTAACTCATTTGACACACGACAATATTTCTTCAATAATTTTTCAAAGCATAAAATTTGCAACACAGCTAAAAATTCCATCCACTCTGTTCATATAAGTGCATTAACTAAGCTTTTCTGAGTATATATAGAAGAATTTACCTTTGCAAAATATATATATATATATATATATATATATATATATGGAAGAAGAAGACTTAACTAATTAACAGAGTTAATCCCTTAACAGAAAGCAACTTAAGTAATAACAAACTAACTATAGTTAAGTACAACAAATAAAATTCAATGCAAATTACAATTATTGAATATTAAATTTCTCAAAATTTACCATCTTTAATTATATAAAAATAAATCTAGTTTAATGGTGTTGTCTTCCTTTGAAGCCACGTAAGTTTTATAGCACACCTCTAATGATAAATCATTTAATGCACTTTCAGAGTATTTTTTAGCAATCCTTTAAAGGAAAGCCTAATAAATATAATTGACTTTTTGCTTCATATTTAATGTATAAATTACTTCCATTAATAATTTTCAGTCATTTAAAATAAACAACATTGACGGAAAAGATAATTACGTGGAGGCAGGTTTCTTTTCTTCTTTTGTTAAAAATAAGTCTAGTCCTTAAAATTTTCAATTTATCTATACTCTTTCTATCTTTGAAAAAGATTATTACATTCTTAAATTTTAAACTATAATTCTTTTAGTCTATATTATTTACCTTATTAAGTAAATGATGATGTAATATATTGAATTAATTTGACAAGATCGATGACAAACAAGTAACAAAGAAGATATTTGTATTTAACAAAAAAGGTAAACCATTTAGAGAGCCAAAGCGAGCATAGCTCAGTGTAATTGGCATATGCCTCCAACTAAGAGGTTGTGAGTTCGAATTCCTTCTCCAACATGTTGTACTCAAAAGGTGAAATAGAGTTAGGAGCACTTCCTTGAAGGACCAGAATTGAATAATGACTATATAAGCTATCTTGATATCAAGATAGGTCGTGGAAGTGGACCTTTGATTTTTTATAGGGCTGAGCTGTAATGGACAATGCCTCCTCCAACACCTCTACCCACCCCACCTAAAACATAGCCTTACCCATATTACGAAGTTACGAACTAGAGAGACACCTCTCCGGCGAGCACCCATGTCCGTCCATGTTTGTGCAACAGTCGATTGGTAATATGGAAACAAGCCAAACGAACACATCTACAACATCAAATTCCTCTATAGCAACAGAAGCAGCTGTCAATCCACTATATGAGTCATGGGTAACTACCGACCAGCTACTTCTCTGCTGGTTGTACAACTTTATGACTCTAGAAGTTGCAACAGGGTATGAAAATGCTCGTGATTTATGGGCTGCCATACAAGAACTCTTTGGAGTATAGTCTCAGGCGGAAGAAGATTATCTCTGTCAGCCATTTCAACAAACTCGAAAAGGTTCTCTTAAAATTACTGATTTTTTGCGTGTTATGAAGTCTCATGCAGACAATTTGGGTCAAGCTGGAAGTCTCGTACCCACCCGATCTTTGATTTCTCAAGTTCGGCTGGGATTAGATGAAGAGTATAATCCTGTGGTAGCAACGATCCAAGGAAAACGAGGCATTTCGTGGCCTGAAATGCAAGCCGAATTGTTGGTATTTGAGAAGAGGTTAGAACTTCAAAATTCTCATAAAAATACAGTATCTTTTAACAACCCTGTTTCTGTGAATATGGCTAATAGTAGCAGAAATGTAAGTGGTGGAAACCAACGTCCAAATCAAAACTCTCGGCCACCATTCAATAACAGTCGGGGGGTGGTCGAAATCGAGGTAGAGGATGGTGGAACAACAACAATAGTCGACAAATTTGTCAGGTGTGTGGTAAACCTGGACATTCAGCACTAACGTGCTACCATCGATTTGATAAGGAGTACAGGAACAATACACAAAGTCAGGGTAAAAACTTCAACGACGACTCTAACCAGGGGGTTAACAACAACCCTGGACAAGGTACATCTTATGCCTTCACAGCAACACAAAATAACAATCCTTTTTTGGCCAATCCAGAAACAGTGGTAGACTTGAATTGATATGTGGATAGTGGTGCTTCAAATCACGTCACCGCAGACTACAACAGTATGGTTCAACCTACTGAATATGGAGGTATGGAAAGAGTTGCACTAGGTAATGACAATAAATTAAAAATATTTCATGTTGGTAAATCCTGTTTAGTTTCTGACGGTGGGTTGATCATGCTTGAAAATGTGTTGTGCGTACTTAACATAGCTAAAAATCTAGTTAGCGTATCCAAACTCGCTAAATACAATAACGTATACCTTGAATTTCATGCTGATTCTTGTCTTGTAAAGGATATACGTTCGGGCAAGGTGGTGCTGAAAGGGGCTCTTAGAGATGGACTTTACCGCCTCAATATAGTTGGAGTAGTCACTGGGAGTACTTCGACTCCAGTTGACTGTGGCTTGGAGTAGGCTGCTAATAAAACTATTTGTTATGTGTCTCTTCCCAAATCGTCTAATAGTATAAATGTTGTGGTATCCAAGGACGTTTGGCATCGTCGACTTGGACATCCGTCTTCTCAAGTTTTTTGAAGTTTAATTAAACGTTGTAATCTGCCCGTGAAAGTTCATGATAATGTCAACTTTTGTGAAACATGCAAATATGGTAAATCTCATGGTCTGACTTTCCCTCTATCTAGTTCACGAGCTACTGCTCCATTTATGTTAGTGCATACTGATCAATGGGGACCTGCACCTGTTATGTCGTCTGATGGGTATAGATAATATGTTCATTTTCTTGATGACCATAGTCGGTTTGTATGGATTTATCATTTGAAGTTAAAAAGTGACACACTTTCTGCATTTAATCATTTTACTACTATGATTTATCACGAAGAGTCTTCATCTCACGACATGTTCAATTCAATAAAGGTGATTATCCATTTGCTTCTGGGTTTAGTCTTCAACAATCCACTGTGTCTGACAATTTTTTATCTCATTCTACCGCTGCTCCAAACCTTCACACATGGTTCGGTAGCCTGCCTACTCTTGAACCTGCTACTCACCCACCATCAAACACCTCTCAACCACGCCCACCAAATTTGCCTATCACCCATAACTCACAGCCTCCTACGACAACTTGACTTCAACAATGCCTTTCTCAACGACAAGTTAGATGAAAATGTCTATATGTCCCAACCTCCAGGATATGCAGATCCCAGATATCCGAATTATATCTGCAAACTACGTAAAGCACTTTATGGCCTCAAACAAGCTCCTCGAGCTTGGAATGTCACTCTCAAATCTGCCTTGCTTTCCTGGGGCTTCACCAACAGTAGATCAGACACATCCTTGTTCATATATCACCAAGGTCCATCCATCATCCTCCTGCTGGTTTATGTCGATGATGTCATTGTCACTGGAAATAATGTTGCTTTAATAGACAGTCTTGTTGCCACATTGGATAAAACGTTTGCGTTGAAAGATCTTGGCTTGCTAAGTTATTTTCTCGGCATCCAGGTCACTCATCTCCCTTCCGAAGTTCTTTTAACTCAGGAAAAATACATAGATGACGTGTTGCGTAGCCTGGATATGGAGGGTTTAAAGCCAGCTCCCTCCCCCACTGTATTGGGCAAATACTTGTCAATTTCTGATGGAGAACCCATGAGTGATCCATTTTTGTACAGGAGCACTATTGGCGCCCTTCAATATCTCACCAACACTCGGCCAGACATCGCGTATATCGTTAATCACCTGAGTCAATTTCTCAAACAGCCCACCGACATACATTGGCAAGCTGTGAAGCGGGTGTTACGCTACTTAAGTGGTACAAAAGACATGGGCCTCCACATCCAACCAAATGACACGGTCTCTCTCACAGCTTATTCTGATGTAGACTGGACATCAAACATTGATGATCGCAAATCAATTGCTGCTTATTGTGTTTTCTTTGGAAACACTCTTGTCACGTGGTCGTCAAAGAAACAAACGACTGTTGCTCGCTCCAGCACTGAGTCCGAATATCGTGCTCTTGCTCATGCTTCCGCTGAAATTATATGAACTCCTTGGTGAAATTGGTCTCAACGTTAGTTCTCCGCCCATTATTTGGTGTGACAATATCAGTGCTGGTGCTCTAGCAACTAATCTAGTCTTCCACGCCCGAACCAAGCACATAGAAATAGATGTCCATTTTGTTCAGGATCACGTGTTACACGGTGCTCTTGAAGTTCGTTATGTAACATCTGTTGATCAACTAGTCGATTGCCTAACTAAACCACTCACTCACTCTCAGTTCCACCTACTACGATCCAAAATCGGAGTGCTTGACCTACCCGCTCGTTTGCGGGGATGTTAATGTAACTTCAGCAAGGAAGTTGAAGCCACACACCAAGTCATAGTCAAAACAAGAATATGTATGGTTAAAAGTTGTTGTGGATTTTTGTTACAATATTTTTGTTAAGTTTAGATTTCTTTTCTTCTAAAATTAGGATACACTTTTGTATAAATAGGGTCTTTGAGTGCCATCATAGTATAGTAAAATACAAACATCTTACCTTCAGTGTGAAACTTTCTCTTGTGAAATTCTTACTCTATGTTCAGCGTAGCGTAATTCAATTCGATAAAGTGTTACTAAAAGAACAGAAATATAATGGGAGCGCTGGAGTATCATGCTAGTTTGGTATACCATCTAAATTCAGTTTCTTGTTTTTAGATTATGATATTCAAACAATGTATGTTTTYATTCACTATATTCACGTCTTCGTTTTTATTCACTAGTATCAAATCCAAATTCTCAAACGGATTTAGTAAGTTTATGTTTAGTTGAATTATTTATTAAAATAATATTTAGATCCCAATAACCTAAATTTTGAAAGTTACCAAATTAATGAAAATGTGAAATACTAACCCACCATTTTAAAAGGTACTAAATTTAAATTTGCACTATTTGTGTTAATTTGTAATACTTTAAAGATAAATAAATATTACTAAAAGGAGTAACTTAAATAAACTAGTTAAAATTAATCTTCATATTTCGGTCGTCACTACATTCAGTTTAGTTATGTAATTATTTCAATTTTTTTAGTACAACATGTGGGTGAGAGATTGAACTCACAATCTAAACGTCTTTATTGAAAACTAAAGCGCTAACGAGCAAAAAAAGGCCCCTGAGCTTTCCTTAACCAGCTGACCTTACTTCGTAACAGTTTTCTTTCCTTCTTTATGCTTTTATGGTAAAATGAACCTGCTTATCCCTTTCTTGTTCCACTAGCTAGGAGCGAATTCTCAGATGTCTCTTTCGTTATTACTTATTTCTTTATGTCTCAAACCGATTTGCGAATGAATGCTGGGTTGAGCCACCGAATTAGCTCCATGGTAATGGCTCAATCTATAGATGGAAAGTCCTATGATGGGAAACTACTCTCGTAAAAATGCAGCGTGGTTTTTCTCTAAAAACTCGGAAGGTTCCGCCAGAAATAGTTTTGGACTCAATCATTTAGTCTTTTGAAGTTCCCTGATTGGTTTGAGAACCTGATTGAAAAAGACATGTATTAGGGATTCCTTTCAAAGATAGGGGCACTGATTGCATCTCTGCTTAGGGGGTAGGTCAAAGCTTTTATTTTTTTTAGAAAAGTAAAAAGCTGGAATCCCCAACTAAACGTCATCGGCTTGGTCAACCTTTACCTGACCAACTACCCAATACTACGCAGGCAATAATTGTACTAATCCACGTATGTCTTTCTCCCATTCATCGGGGAAGACATTGAAAAGGGCTTCATATCCCTTGCAGGGCTTTGAGGTTGATTGAAAGTTGCACTCTCAAGATGGATAGACCACTGGTTGGGTTTGAGAGCCGTGTGATGGATGACTATCTAGCACGGTTTGAAGAGCACTTTTAATCTATGTCAATTATCGTTAAGCTACTCGCTTTGACATATAATTATTTCAAATAATTGTTTATATAATATGACTTCAAATCAAATGTATATTAACATGAATTATATATTGGTCCATTAGATTAACTAGACAAATCTTTTTAATCCAAGAGTAGCAGTAGGAATAAAAAGGTACAAAGATTCAGAAAATAAAATTGACATTTTAAAAATTATACTAAAGTAGAAAATTAGAGAGCACATAAACTAAAGTAGAATCAATTTAAAAATCAAGAACAAAAATAGAATTTAAACTTGTAAACTTTTGAAATCTAAAAAGGAAAAAAAGCGACATGTCCTATGGTTTTATAGAAAGGCGTTTAAGATGTATCAATTTGTTTAAAAAAAGAAATCTAACTTATAAGAGAGGGATAAAAAAACCATTGAGAGGAGAACTTGGAAAATTTTCTGGCCTTCCTCATCCAATTTTCATATTCACCCGTTGCACCATCATCATTGAAATTGTTAAAGCAAACATAGTTGAGCGATAATTGGTATATATCTCCAATCATGAGTTCGAATCCCCCCACCATATTATACTTAAAAAAAGACATAATTGAAATTTGGAAAATGTAATGATTAAATTAATTCTTTTTTACGATAATATAGAAACTAAATTGAGATTATATTTTCAACACTAAAAACTAAAATACATATTTAACATTTTTTAATATTAGAATACATACGAAGAGGGGAAGATTTATATTTACTATTCACGATAACAAAGTAAACATATGTCTAACTCAAGCTATGTGTATTTAGCGATAATTGATATATATCTCAAATCTAGAGGTTGTGAATTCGATCCTGAAGAGTTTGAAATAATTATTATCCATTTATTCCTAAAAATTAATTATAAAATTAATGATTTTATCTTTAATGATATAATTATTAATGAAATTTTAATTCTTCACCTTCTCTTCCTCCACCCATTTAACTAACTTTCTCTCTCCCAACTATTTTGTTTCATTAGTTTTCTTTTGAGTTTAATCTTTTTTCATAAAATAATTTTTATTATTTAATAAATGTTAAACTTAAAAGTTAGAATATAAATAGTTTATAATAAAAAGTAAGAATAGGTGAAATTTTGTCTCTTTTATTTCTATAAATTAATTAAAAAACTTTATGAGTTATTTTTAATTATAACTAATAAGAAATTTTCAAAAATTTGATAATTCATTATTTCTTACCACTATATAAAAAGTTATTTCTCCATTCTTTTTTTTTCATATATGTTTTTCTCCTTTAATCAATATATATATATATATATATATATTTTGTTTTTTTGAAGAGTCAAAAGAAGAGAATATCAAGATTATGAGAATTAGATTATTGTATTGTAGGAGGACGTTAGTGACACTTAATTGCTAAAAGAGAGGGAGATTGAAGAGGATCACGTGAGAGTGAGAGGAGGATGAAAGAGTCTGAGTTTTTATTTAAAATTTTCTAATTTGTATTATTTAAATAAATATATTTTTAATTTAATTAATCATTTAAGTGACATTTTAATTTAAATAATAACATATCTAGACAATTATAAATATCTATGTTGGAGGTGATTTTTCAACTCACACGTGGCATGTCATGACTGGATACTCAAAAATCCATGTGGCTTCTTCTTTTGAAATCAAAGGTTTTCTACTTCGACCTTGATCTTTCATGTCGAGTCGAGCAACTAAGCGGCCGAGCCGACCAAATAGTTAGATTATAATTCCCAAACAGTCGATTGAATTGATTTCCTCTACTTCGGCTCAGCTTAATTATTCTCCGACAAACTTTGTGACATCACGCCGTGTTTCATAGTTACCTTAAAAAGTCGTTGAGGCCTTGTCGTGAACACGGTCACAGACTTCCTCTTTAAATAGAGTTCATTTCCTTCATCCTAAGGTACGCGAATATTCGATTCTCTCTCTCTCGACTTGATTCGGACATTCACTGACTTTGACATCGGAGTGCTTACTCTGTTTTGCAGGTCTTCTGCCTAGTATTTGAAGCTCACTGTCCAACTCATGCTAGCCGATGTTCGCGGAGTTGATCATTTTTCTGATGAAACAATATAATTTTATATTTGATTATTAGAAATATGAAAGATTATTGGTGAATACATATGTAATCAACCTATTTGTCTTTTTAAATTTGTATTATCAAGAATTTTTTTTTTGTATTATTTCAAATATTTACATAGCAAGAGGGACGAGTGTAAGTGCACACTGTCAAGTAATAATCTGGAAATATTCCAAGTTCGTCTCCACATGGACTAGTTTTCTTTTAAAATTGATTTTGCAAATTTTTGGAATGAGCAATCGAGTTTGTGATAAAAATTGGTGAGATTGGTTGAACACGAAAAACACACGAAAATAATATAATTTTGAAACCAACCCTCATACTACTGACTAGTTCGAAGAGAATTGAATTACACCTATCAGAATCTCACACTAAATTTACTCTCTAATTGCAAACTGGTTCAACTCCTATTCCATAGCGCTTGTTTAATGGGTAAGAGAGTCTATGTCTAGGATCTTGTTTAAGTTCTTATGTCTAGGTAACTTCCCATTTTATCTCGATGAACTCCGTTGACTCTAACTTTTTCAGAATTAAACTCAACTGTTGTAATTTAAACAAGTGGCCAACAAATAAAATCAACTAGATTAATTAACTCAATCAAGATAAGCAATTTGAGCGTAAACGCCGTGCTATCTGATAGATGTAATTAAAATGATGGAAACTAAGTCGAAGAGGGTTGGAAAAACAAATTAGCTACTCATAAAAACATGAAAAATAGAAATAATAAGAAGTGGATTGAAATAAAATATCATATTAAATTTAAGAAGTAATTACAATAGCTAAATTAAAATCGAGAACCAAAATCTAAAGAAAATGATAACAACAAAAGGAATTGCAATAAAAATAATTCAAGGAATGTTGAGCAAAATTAAAGACAAAACAAATTCTAGAAATGTAAATTCTAGAGAGGAAACAAGCTGGAATTTTAAATGTCAAGTGAGATGCCTTTGAAGCTTGATGGAACTTGGTATTTATAAGCCAAACCTTGCAAGTTGGTGGAGAAAATCTTGGGTATTTGAGTGGAGGAGCTACAATGGGGCTTAACAGSATTTGGTTGCACGGATCAAGGGATGGGTTGAGATTTCTTCCAACTGCCCGGTCAACAAACRTCCTTATTTGTAGGTGGAGAATGCGCCAGGCGCATTGCTGAAGTTCTTGAGTGTTGGCGATGCGCCAGACGCATCGCTGCTAGCTTTTAAGATAGCCTCTGTGTCAGTAGGTGCATTGCTGCAGTAGGTGCATTGCTGCTTTTTCCTTCCTTTTTCCCTATAAAACATATATATTTCCTCATAATTCCATCTATTTATCCTCAACCAAGTGTACAAATCTTTCTTAAGAAATAGTCTCATTTATACCGGATTCAATGCATGAAACCTACGTATTTAATTTCAGAAAACACTAAACATGCACAATTTGTAAACACTTTTTCTTAAAATTCAAGACTTATCAAATAAAATAATTTATATTATAATTTGTAATGCTTTTTTAAATATATTTTTATACTTTAAAATAGAACTACAAAATTTAATTATATATGGTTGACTAGTTACATTAAAAAGGTTTTCTAGAAAAATATATTTGGACTAATATGAGCTTCTCTCAATTTATAAATGGCTAGACATGCCACTACCTAATTAATTATTTATTATCTTTCTTTAATTAGTTAACGATTTATTTCTAATTAAAAAAATGCATTAATAATTTGTTAAGCTAACCTACACATAGTTTTTTATTATAAATATAGTAAATTAATTAGTTAATAATTAATTATCAATAATACTTAACCTATGGAATGTAAAATGTTGGAATGGAAAGATTTTTCTTACGTATTTTTTAAAATTTTATATTAATTATATTTTATGATAGAATTTCTAACGTTTTGAAACTTTTTGTCCTCTAATGTAGATGAGCTTTCTTCCATCATTTTGTTTAAAAACTCAAATTCCATTTATTCTTATATTTAGTGCTCTCAATAATTACTCTAAAAAAACTCTCCAAATGGGGAAGATATCTAAATATCTTAGGCTTGCAACATTACAATTTCTATTATTGGTCAATCAATTATAAAATGATCAAATTTATTTTAAGGAACGAGTCTATTACCTACGATATATTGGAATTTTTTTTTGTTATTATTGTTTTTTCATTTTTCTTTTATAATCAATATTTTTTTAATTTAAAACGTTTGGTGAAAAACGACAACTTATTGATTACAGTTACAAGCTTACGTGCCGTTTTTAGAAAAAGAAAAAAGAAATATAATCTTGTAAATCAATTCCTTAAAAGATTTTTAATTAATTAATTAATCAATTATCAATAATAATTCGTAATATAAAAAGTTGGAATACACAAAACTTTTGTCATTTCATTCCCCAAGCAGTTAAAAGAATTTTCAAAGAATAGTTATAATTATAATATGAAATTAAATTAGTAAAATAATTTTTCAATATTTGGAGTTGATCAATATATAATTAAAAAAAGGTTGAAAAATCTTTATAATTTTAAATAAATAAACACTGTACTTTAATAAAAAATGATGAACCTAAATTAGGTGAAATAATTTGTTCAAAATTGAAATATAAAATTACTTATATATTTTTAATTGACATATTAAAAATAATAAAATGTAACCTATACTTCGTTAAAAACGTTATATAAGATAATGCAATTTATATACACTCAAATAGATTAAATGAATAGATTAAATGCATGGAATGTGAAAATTTGTAGAAAGTAAAAAATTTTGTATTTGTATACATAAATTAATTATATAAATAAATATTTGTATATATACTTATATTTAATTGTATGATGTGAAAGTTTTGGAATTTAAAAAATTTTATCATTTTTTTTATTTTCTCTTCAACTATAAATTTGTGTCTTCAATTCATTTCCACACCAATTTGAAAGCTGTATGTGATAAAAGTTAATAAAATAATTAAGAAACTTAAACCTATATATCCTAATAACAAACCAGAAAATAATTAATTAAGAAGATTTTAATGATGGAGGAAATGATAAAACATTGACAAATTATAAATACATAAATTAATTTTAATTTTTTTAGTAGCAATTTAAAATTTAATTATAGATGGATTTAAGTTTTATTTTATATTTGAATATATTTTTATCAATGTAAAAAAAATTGCATAGCTATACATATAAACCAAACTAATTTTAGACCTTTCATACATTTTTTTTATTTTAACTTATTTTATTAATAATAATTACTCTTAATCTTATATTTTTACCCTTAAACTAATTATAAATAATAAAATATATTTAACGAGTTGTTTTTATAAATTTAAAGCACATAATAATATAAATTCAATTAAATAAATTATTTTTAATAAATAAAATCAAACAAGTGAATATTAACCATGTTCACGAACATCATGAATAAACGGGAATGACATAATTCATGTTACTTTATTGACACAATATTGTGAGGTTCGATATAGTTGATGAGTCTTTTTTTTTCCCTAAAGTTTGGGAGGACGACTAATGATAGCATCAAGGGTGTTCCCAAATTCAAGTAACTCTTTACTTGTATCATCTCTATGAACAATAGCTTCTATGAAGCACAAACAATCATTTTGATCTCTCATTGATGTTTCAATTGCTTGCACTAACTCTGCTTCCGTTTCAACCTTGAGATAAAAATTTAAAATTTATAAAAAAAATAACTCATTAAAAATATAAAGTAATGCCACTATATATATATGAAAAAAATATTGAGATTTTACCTTGGTAGTCCAACATTTGCCAACATGATTGTTCATAGCATCAACGAGAAGAGTGTAGTCCCAATTCTTGATGACAGTATAAGGACCATCGTGAAACTCTACTTGAAGGGTGTATCCACCATTATTTATCAAAAATATTATATTTCTTTGTCCCAATCTTAACATTGTCGATACATCTTGTGGACACATCTATCCCATCGCAAATATGATCAATCATTTACATATGTTTTCATTTTAATTAGTTTATAAATTTTTTCAATAAAACATTAAAAAAAATGCTAAACTAGAATAAATTAGACCTGAAAGCTCCCATCACCGATAAAAAGAACCACTCGCTTTTCTGGTGCGGCTTGTGCATAACCAAGAGTTGCACCTAGAGACCATCCAATTGATCCATATAGCAATTGCACCTCGTACCTGCAATATTTATATTTTTCTATAATTCAATGTTAAAAAGACTATTTAGCATATTTACATGTCAAGAAAGATAGTGGGTTTTACTTTACCCGCATGATTGTGGTAATTTCAATTTTTGACAGTGAAACCAAGAGTCACCGCTTTCAGATATGACAGTCATGTCACTCATTAACATCTTTCGGATATGTTTGAAAAGAACGTTGACCCGCAAGGCCTCGCCCGGCTCCGACTGGACGTGACCCGACTCCGGAATATAAATCCGGCGATAATTCTCATAAGCAGTTGGGTTGGGCTTCAGTTGCTTGGCCAAAGCCCAAAGGAAGTCCTTCATTAAAATGGGCCCAAAACGCGGCCCATTAGGGAACACAACGCGTTCGGGCTCTACAATAATGGCCTTGTTCTTCTTGTAGGCAAGCGAGAAGCCGAGCGTTTCGACGTCGTCGAAATTGGGGCCGGCGAAGAGCGAGGCGTCGGCTATTTCCACCGTTTCGCGGCAGACGGCGGAGCTGATGGCTCCCCAGTAAGTTCCGATGAAGTGAGGGTGAGTCTCCGGAAACAGGCCTTTCGCCGACGGCGTAACGGCGACGGCATAGCCACAAGCGTCGGCGAGGTCGAGGAACGCCGCCCCGGCTCCGGCGGGTCTCAGCTTCCTCCCGCCGACCATCACTGGTTTTACGGCGCTATTTAGCAGCTCCGCCGCCTGGGCCACTGCCACCTCCAAACCCATCTGGTTACTTTCCCTGTGAGATCGTTCTGAGAAATTAATACCCTATTCTTCCATTTAATTTAACTAATAATTTCAAAATTTTTATAATATTTAGTTTATGCGGTAACAATTTATTCATTATAATTTAAAATTTGTAACTTCCTTTTTTTCTTTTTGATATCTCTCAGGGACAACTGTCCAACCTTACCACATTTGTTTCTAAGGAAACATATAAAAATTACTTTCTAAAATAAATATTCATCATAGGATTTGAACTAATTCTCTCTTATATTATACTTAGTCTATTTCGATCCACGGACCACCTATGATGGTTAAAATTTGTAAAATTTTAGTCAACGACTTAATCTTTGTAGTTTGTAATAATAAATTGATTTGGTCATTCTCATCGGTTTATCAGTTTATATATACCAAACCTCATTAAATTTCAACAATATTTTTCACTATGGGACTAACTTGTAATAAGTTTTGGATTAGACAGACCAAATGATTACATATTGAAGTGTAGGAACTAAATTACTACAAATTTAAATTCGCATGACAAAATTATTACAAATTAAAAGATTAAATAGACTAAATTGTTAGTTCATAGATAAAACTATTTTATAACTAAAAGATATATTATATGTTTTGTAAGTAGCTCTTTTTGATTGATGTGATAGAGAAATGAATTACTTGGGAGAGATGGAGAGTGGGATGAGTGGTTGCATTGAGAAGGAAGGATGAGGAATGTCGACCAAATTGCAGCAAATGCTGATGTAAACTGGTTTGCTCTCTTCCAAACATTTACAAATTGCTGTGTCTATCTGCCACTGTGCCTCCTCCACACTCTCAATAATGGCCTAACACCACCACAACAAGACCAAAAACAAACCAATACATGGAATATTTAATTTTATGTTAATTCATCGTTGAGTAATAAATTAAAGAACAATTATTATATCTCGATAATTTTATAAACATGTTCTTTAGTTTTGATGATCTATATGATATTTCTTCTTAAACTTCGATACTCTCTTGTTTGAACAATAATATAATATTGTTTGTTTTGGGCATAACTTCACTATTTTGCTTTTGATTTCACCCAAAAGACGTAATATCAATTAAGATCTCATTCTTATATACCACGGATATTATCCATTCCCAACCAACATGCGACTTTGTTTGCATTCCTTACCAATCGAACACTATTTACATAGTTGATAAAGAGACACGTCCACCCGATTATAGATCTACATAAATCTATTTTAGTTTTGGATGTTAGTTTTACTTTCATGCATATCCATAATTGTTCTTGAGAAGGATGTTTAATTATTGTTGGTTAATGATGCACTAAAGCTAAGGTACTCTTTTTTATAGAATTCATGAATGATGAAAAGTGCTTGTTAATAATAATAAAAATAGAAATAGGAATCGTAGTGTTTGGTTAAATTGGGTAAAAAATATGTTTGTCCGGATTAAAAACATTAAAAAAATTAATTTAATAATAATAAGTGGTTTGAAAATTTTCTAAAAAATTAAAACATTTTTTGGGGGCTTCTAATACAACCTGATAACAGGTAAAATTTCGGAAGCAGCGGAGTTCTTGACTGAAATCGGGGGATCCAATGGTATGGTGGAGAATGTTTTTAGTCCCATAATAATTGGAGTTGGGCCCACCCACAATACAAATCACCGGAAGGTCCTCGGAGTAAGCTCCGGCGACGGCGTTGATCAGGCTGAGGCCGCCGACGGTGAAGGTGACAGCGCAGGCTCCGACGCCGCGGCGCCTGGCGTAGCCATCAGCCGCGTAGCCGGCATTCAGCTCGCTGCAGCAGCCGACGAGATTCAGGCCTTGCTCCGCCGCGAAATAGTCGAGTAGTGAAAGAATGGAGTCTCCCGGAACGGCAAAAATATCGGAAACGCCGATTTCAACGAGGCGGCGGCCGAGATAGTGGCCTAGCGTCGATGCGTCGGTGGCCATAGCTGGGGCTTCGTAGTCACAAGGCACCCGTCCGATAAATTTATAGAGGAACAAGAAAGGCCGTTTGCAAATACAGCCAAAAACTAATATTTTATTGCAAATAATGTAATTACTTTTCTGATTGCAAAAAATAAAAAATAAAATGCACTTTTAGACTTTTTTTTGTTTAGTACCTGAATTTTGAATAAAGATTTCTATTCGTTACTAAATTTCAAAAAATGATAATTTAGTCTCCGACCTTTTGAAAATGATTCTAAAAAGTCTCTGAAGTCAAACTTCAACTAATGGAATATTGACTTGGCCAACAGAATGCTGATGTGRTGTCATTTATTAAATTTATATTATTTTTTGGAAAATACTTGGCTCTCCCTAACGAGGAATCTTGTCTACACCACCATTTAATATTTGACCACCCATTCTTTTTTAAAAACATTTTTTRTTTTTGCATTTCTCTCTCGTAGTTGTTAAATAGTGTGGATAAGATTCYTCCTTMTTCGTGAGGAGCCAAGTATTTTTCTTATTTTTTTTTAAACTTATATGTGYCATTTTACTTCATTCTCTTCCCACTTTCTTCCTCTTTCTCTCTCCACCTACACCTTTAATCTCCTCTTTTCATCTCCTTTTCTCAATCTACAAAATTCATCCGTCTCCCTCTACAAAATCCATCATCAAACTTAATAAATTGGAAGAAAAAATCTAAATTAGTCCAATTCTTCTAGCATTTACTCATYTTCCACTTCCTTCGTCTTCGCTATGGCTTCCTACAAGAACATTCTCCCGAGACATGGCTTCGTTTTCATCTTCATCGTCGGAATCAATGGAACTATCCCTGCCCATAATCTAGATTTTCTCAACTTCGCCCTGGATGGAAACCCAATAACCAATCTTTAGAATTAAATTCGATGTGTTTTCCAATCAAGAATTCAATGATCGCAGTAAAAATTATATGAGAATCGATTTTAGTTCCATGACCTCTAACTTGACCCAGGGTGGGTTTTGTTTGGACGACGATATGATTTTTGAAGAAACTGACCATTTTATCTTTTTTATAATCCATATAAATTAATTAAATTTACTCAATCCATCAGCTTAAAGTTTTTGGGTTAAGTGGTGGTTTATTCATCTGTAAGATAGTATCAAAGCGGGAAGTCTGTTCAAGCCCCTGCGCAGTCGTTTCCTGAGGAATTATATGTAACTTTATCGTCAGACAAATTTAATATTGACTAACTTGAGGAGTTAACTTAAAATTTTAAGATATAAAGGAGGATTAAAAAATAGAAATTTTTTAAACAATAGAAAATAAATCGAAAAAAAATACCTCTATTTATATTAAAGGCTGAGACCGAAACATGTATCAAAAAAAGAAAGAAGGAAAAAGAAAACAATTTTTACTTAAGATTTAATCTTTACCAAATCCAACCTATAAATCTTTAAAAACTCATTAATTTAGAAGAACGAAATGATGCTATCTTTTTTTGAAGTCGGTCAATTTCATACCACACCTTTAATGGTAAATCTTGAAAGTATTTTTTAGCAATCTTTTTAAGCAAAGCCTAACATATCGTTGACTCTTGGCTTCATATTTAATGTTTAAATTATTACTCGCATTAATCATTTTCAGTTATTAAAAATAAATCACATTAACGGAACAGATGATTGTTGTGCAGGCAGAGTTTTTTAACCCTTAAAAATAAATTTTATTAATTTTACAATTTTTTATCTTTTGGATTGTTGAAAAAATATATATATATTTGGGACGAAATTTGATAAGTTTCAAATATAGTAAATTTTTTGGTTGAAATTTGTAAGTGTGAAGTTTAGGTTTCGGAGCAACTCCGGCGGGAGAAACTAGGCTATTAGCGAAGTTATTTAATAGGACTTTATATATTAATCAAACTTAATTATGTGCAAATTTTTATTTGCATTAAATTAATTAGCTTTTTTAGTTCTACCATTACTTTTCGTTAAGATTAGTAAGCGAATTAGTGAAAATTATATAAAAAAATAAAATATGCAACATATTTATATAAATTTAAGGTCCATGGAATTGAAAATTTATAAGTTGTAAATTTTGATTTTTTTCCCTAAAAATTAAAATGTTGTTAGAAAAATCATACGTGGTGCCGTGTAATTTGAATCATCACATTAGTAATTTCTACCATTAATTTATTAGGTGGGCGAATTAATGAATAAACTGTGTGCTCTCTCTTGGTCCAAACTACACGAGAGTGACACATTATTTATTGTTGGTATTAATTACACATAGGCATTACCTAATTATATAAATATAAATATATATTTTTTAGTACAACAAATTAAGGAGGTGGGGATCTAACCTCCGACCTCGAGGATGGAAAAGCATAAATCTATATCGCTTTGATTTATTATAAAAAAAAAGTGATATTACAAATATATAGTAAATCTTTTATTTTTTTTAAATATAACACTCAGGTTAAAACTAACCTGTTTTACAATATTTTAATTTGATTTGAATTAGGCTGTTTTGTAAAAAATTTAAGCTTTCTATTAAATTTAAAAATACATATTTATTTTATGATATTTATATAATTATCTTTATGGGGTTCCTTTTCCAAAATAAACAACCTCTCATATTTATGGTCCGATTAGATCGATTTTAGCACTACAAAAATTTTGTTTTTGACGACCTTTTTTTCCAAAACAAACAACCTCTCATATTTATGGGTCGATTAGATTGATTTTAGCACTACAAAAAATTTTGTTTTTGATGACGAATTAATTTCTGATAAATTTATATATGTTAGGCAAAAATAATTTTCTGGCGGCAGAATGTAATGGTCACCAGGCAAAAGTAACTTCTGCCGACGAAATTCATTTTCGTCACCATTGTCACATTACTCGACAAAAATCAATTTTGTTGCCATAATTAACTTTTAAAATTTAAATTTTTGTAAAAGCACGAAAATTAATGACAATGAAATAAGGGATTTTTGCGGATGATATTTTTTTCGTCGTGAAAAATATTAAAACAAGCGTTTAATATAAAAATGCAACGGTTGGTATGTTTTTCTCGACACATTCATTTCTTCGGCAAAAATACCTTTTCAGCCTGAGGCCTTTTTCCTTTTCCTCCTCATCTTCTGCAATTACTATCATTGATCTTATTTTCAATACTCTAGAAATGATTATTTTTTTATAATGCTTTTAATATTTAATTTATTTTTTATTACGGGATCAGAAATTTGAATTCATGATGTCTTGGTTAGAGACAAATGTCAATTAACGCTGAGTTAAACTCATATTCGCACATTTAATTTATTTTAGTGTGATTTGATCGTGGACCTAAAATGTATCTTAAACCTAGGTTGGTTTCACCCAAAGGAGGTTAATGGTGATGTATGCTATTGGGGTGAGTTTTTACCTCACACATGGCATATTCTGATTGGAGGAGAAAGTTACACATGGCTTTAAGTCTATGAAGTCAAGTTTTATCACCTTGGTATTTTGACTGACTATCAAGCCGACGCCCATGATGGTCGAGCCGACCAAGATCTCCTTTTGGCCCCGTCCTCATTCTTTGGTCTAACCGATCTGGATGTGTCCTGTTCAGCCACATATTCCGACAAACTCCACCACAGCATGACGTGATTCACGCTTACCTTAAAAAGCCGTTGAGGTCTTGTCGGGAATCATGTTGGATACCTTGTTTATATATAGAGACCATTTTCTCTATCCTAGGTATGCGAACACTGTATTTACCCTTGAATGCATTTCAGATTTTTTTTGACTTGGACGTCGGAGTGTTTTCTTTTGCAGGTCTCCTGCTCAGCACGTTTGAACTCGTTCTAAAGATCATCCTTCCGTCCGAATCGAGGTTCGCAAGCTTGGTCATTTTTGTGATCAAACATGTGTTATTCTCCCATTAATGTGGCCATATCTTTTTTTATATTTTTGTTCTAATATTCAACTTCCTCTCTTGAGCTGTATTTCTTCTTTCAACTTATTTACCATTCACGTGAAATTATTTATATGCTGATGAAATAAATTTCATCAGCATAGATCTACATATACCGACAATTTTTGTTTAATAGGCATATATATACCATCTCTACGATGAATGACAAATTTCTTAATCAGTCCTATTGCGATAGTCTCTCTCGACATATGTGATCAGGTCTACCTAATTTTTTTTGTTAGCAATAGTCTCCCCCGATAGTCCTATTGTGGCAAAATTGTTCATCGAAAAAGGATTTACTACAATTTTCTGATTCAATGGTGACAAATGTTTGCGTAGGCAAAAGTTAAATTTGTTCTAGTTGAGAGTTGAAACGAAATTCGACCAATATATTTTCCTTTATAAAAAGATAAATAAAGTGAAATCATGGAGAGGCTGAAAATAGTTGACAAATCAAAATGATGATTTGGTCAATTCAATCTAGTGGTTTGAGGGCTTACTAGATGTGTAAATGAGAAACCAATTTTTCATATATAATATCAAATTTACAACTTGATAAAAGTTGAATTAACTGTCAGAATCAATATGCCAACCAGAACATAGCTCAGATGATTAAGACATATATATATCCAAACACAAAGTTGAGAGTTCGAAACCTCCATACAAATTATACTAAAAAAACACTACCATAATCAATATGAACCACCAAAACGAAAACATGGACTGAAATTTTAAGATAATATTACACATCTAATCATTCAAGAGTTGAAAATATTTTGTTCTTGTTTCATAAAGGTCTAGGAGGGCGACAACTAATAGCAGCAATCTTGCTACCAAATTCAAGTAACTCTTTACTAGTATCATCTCTATGAAGAATAGCTTCGATGAAACATAAGCAATCATTTCGATCTTTCGTTGCTGTCTCAATTGCTTTTACCAATTCTTCTTCCGTATGAACCTAAACACGAACCCAAAATATACAATAAACAAATTAAAAAGCATATCAAAAAATAAAAACAAAACCTCACAAATATAATATGCTTGATTTCGATTTTTTAGAGCGTTTATATGAAAATAAAAGTAAAAAGATGTCGGGAATATATATCCTACTTTGGCAGTCCAACATTTGCCGTCCTGATTATGCATGGCATTGACCATGGCGGTGTAATCCCAATTCTTGATGACGTTGTAAGGGCCATCATGAATCTCTACTTCAATGGTGTATCCACCATTATTTATCAAAAATATTATATTCTTTTGTCCCAACCTTAACATCGTCGATACATCTTGTGGACTCATCTGCTCACCATAATCATTCAATTTATTCAAATATCGAAATTTATAAAGTAAAATAAAATTTAAATCTACATAAAATAAAAATGTACCTGAAAGCTTCCATCACCGATACAAAGAACCACCCGCTGCTGAGGTGCAGCTTGGGCATATCCAAGAGTCGCACCCAAAGACCATCCAATAGATGCATATAGCAATTGTACCTCATACCTACATTTCTTCAATGTCACTTTATACTACACTCAAAATACTAATTTAATCCTAAAGTTAAAATTTTTCAATAATTTTATATTTTTAAATTAGTGGTTTGCTCACAATTTCTTTAGTGTACTTTTACCTTTCAGAAACAAAAATTACCTTTTTTAGTTTTTAAAGTCTGGTTTCAATTGAAAAAACAGAAAATTAAAAATAAAATTGCTATACAAAATTAAGATAAAAGAGAGAATCTGGTTTTTACCCGCATGATTTCGGTAACTTCAGTTTTTGACAGTGAAACCAAGAGTCACCGGCCTCAGAAATCACAGTCATGTTACTCGACAACATTTTCTGGATATGTTTGAAAAGAACATTGACCCGCAAGGCCTCGCCCGGCTCCGATTGGAGTGGACCCGACTCCGGAACATAAATCCTGCGATAATTCTCGTAGGCCGTCGGATTGGGCTTGAGACGCTGGGCTAGGGCCCGAAGGAAGTCCTTCATTAAAATGGGCCCAAAACTGGGCCCATTAGGGAACACAACACGTTCTGGCTCTACAATAATGGCCTTGTTCTTCTTGTACGTAAGCGAGAAGGCGACGGTTTCGAGTTCGTCTAAAGTGGCGCCGGCGAAGATGGAGGCGTCGGCAATTTCCACCGTCTCGCCGCAGAAGGCGGTGCTGACTGCTCCCCAGTAAGTTCCGATGAAATGTGGGTGGTTCTCCGGGAAGAGGCCTTTCGCCGACGGCGTGACGGCGACGGCGTAGCCACAAGCGTCGGCTAGCTCCACGAACGCGGCTTGGGCTTTGGCGGGTCGAAGCTTCTTTCCGGCGACCATCACTGGTTTTACGGCACTGTTTAGAAGCTGAGCTGCCTTCTCCGCCGCTACCTCCAAACCCATCTGGTTACTTTGCCTGTGGAATCATTCAACATAATATAAAAAAAAATAAAAAATAAGATGATTTTAAATATATATATATATATATATATATATATAATGTAGCTCTACTTTTGGTACTAAACATATGTTCTCTCGTTTAAGGAATAATGAAGGTTTTTAACCAATTTTTTAAATGAAAGTTTAAAAATAAAAAATAAAAACCAGTGAAAAAAGTCAATTTTTACCTTTAAAGTTTAGATAGGTGCATTAAGTTTTTACTTAAACTTTCAATGATGACTTAAATAAGTGTCGCAAATTAATAGCGGGAAAATATTAGTTCTTTATTGGTGAGAATTAAATAAAATTGATACTTCATTATTTTTAAAAAAAAAAAACTCTGTTTTTTAATTCTTCCCTTCTATGGTCAAACATTTAATAGTGAGACTATTGAAATTGGTCGAGCTAAGTATTTTGTTTGATAGATTCTCGTTGTTAATTTTGTAGACTGGTTAAAAATTTGGTTAAAATATCATATTGATTCATGTACCTTGATAGTCTTTCAAGTTCCAATAAATCTAAACAGCAATCATTTTTGTGATTTGAAGTTAACTTTTATCAAATTTTATGAAAAAGAAAATAATCATTTTCATTCCATAAAAGTTCCTCTAGTTTAATTTGTGGATTAAAATACTATTTTAGTTCATATGATAGGTTAAAATAATACTTTTAATTGATATATATTAAACTTATTTTATTTTACATCTAAGTACTACTTTCAAATGTTTAAATTGAGTCGTCTACTCCTAATAAAGCTTAAAATTAATTTTTCAAAGAGTTTAGTGTTGGTCATATAAATTTGATAGGTTTATGAAGAGAAAAGAAATTACTTGGGATGGAGGGAGAGTGGGATGAGGCGTTCCATGGAGAAAGAAGGATGAGGAATGGCCACCAAATTGCAGCAAATACTTATGTAAACTGGCTTCCTCTCTCCCAAACACTTGCAAATTGCTCTATCTATCTCCCATTGCGTCTCTTCGACATTATCAATAATGGCCTAAGCACCAAAACCACATCATTTAAATTTGGAAAATATTTGACTCATGAGCAATCTTGTCTTCACCATCATTTAATATTTGACAACTGAAAAAGAAAAATGCAAAAATAGAAACGTTTTATAAAAATAAATGAGTTGTCAATTTTTTAATGGTGGTGAGGATGAGTTTTGGTCCTCACAGCGAAGGAACCAAGTATTTTCCATTAAATTATGGAAAATATTTAGCTCGAACATTATCCTTACCACAGATAAATATTTGACAACTTATTATTTTTTCAAAAAGTTCATTGTTTTGCATGGCTCTATCTTAGTTGTCGAACATTTAATGACGGTAATGATAAGGTTTCTTCTCATTAGTAAAGAGCCAAATGTTACCCTTTAATTTTCGAAAAATACTCAGCTTCTTAATGGTAATGAGAGAATTTTGTCTTTAACACCAGTAAATATTTGACAACTCATTAATTGTTGTAAAAAAAGAAAAAAATCTGTTTTTACATTTTTTTTCTCTTAATTGTCAAACATTATAATGATGGTAAGCACAAAATTCATTGTTTAGCGAAGTATATTTTCCTTAATTTTGATACATTTTGAAATTAAAAATACTCAGCAGCTTAATTTTATCCTCACCATTATTAAATTATTAAATACTTGACAACCCTCGTTAAAAACAAAAGAAAAACATTTTTGTTACATCATTTTCCGAAATCAGGTGTAAAGTTGTGTAGTAGTACCTGATAGCACGTGACATTCTGAAAGCAGCGCAGTTCCTGACTGAAATCGGGCAACCCAATTGTATGGTGGATGATCTTCTTGCTCCCGTAATCATTGGAGTTGGGCCCACCCACAATGCACAGCACCGGAAGATCCTCCGAGTAAGCTCCGGCGACGGCGTTGATCAGGCTCAGCCCGCCCACCGTGAACGTCACGGCGCAGGCTCCCACGCCGCGGCGCCTGGCGTAGCCGTCGGCGGCGTACCCAGCGTTGAGCTCGCTGCAGCAGCCGACGAGATTCARCCCCTKTTCCGCMACGAARTAATCGAGCAGCAGGAGATTGRAATCTCCCGGRACGGARAAGATATCGCCGACGCCGATCTCGACGAGGCGGCGGGCAAGGTAGTGGCCGAGCGTCCATGGGGGTGGGGATTGGGTTTGAATTTGAATGGGTTTATTTGTGGGTGCTGCTGCGCCATTAGTTAGAGGCTTGGGCGTGGGTGTCTCTGTGGGGAAGCCATTTTCGAGCTTCGTCGGCAATGGCATGGCTGTTGAATCAGGAGGAAGCGACTGCCGAAAAAGGTGAATGGGAAAATGGGGGATAAATTATTTCAAGAGACTACAACGGATTGATGGTTTGATATATAGCTGAATATATCAACAAAAGTTAAGAAACTTATAAAATAATATTTTTGTTTATGTTTTGGAATAAATTAGGGTGCATTTGGTTGGTTGGTAATCACAGAGCTATTCAATAAAAATTATATGTATTTGGTAGCAGATTTAGTAATTGAATCCCAGTTTTAGAAAGTTGTTCAAGAGGTGTTTAGTAATTAAATATTTAGTTTAATCTAAGTTTATATTAATTAATTTATTTGAATTTTGTATAATTATTATTTTAGAAGGTTATATAATTTAGAATATATTATATTTTACATATTTTAATTTTAATAAAGATAAACTGAGTTTATAAATGAAGTAATATATTTATCCAAGTTTTTATCATTTTTAATGTAATTCTGGATCTTAAAAATTTCAAATTCTGAATTTGAAAATGGAAAACATAAAAAAATCATTTTCAGAATTTCTACTCTTTTGATCAAAGAATCCGAAAAATAGTTTTAAAAAACGAATATGTAAAATCTTGCCAAAGGCATATTTGAAAACAAAAAAAACAGAATTCAAGTTTTCAACCTAACAGATCCTTAGAAACCGAAAACAAAAACAAATCTTGTTTTTTTTTTTTTTACTTTCGAAATTTCTATACAATGTTGAGAATATTTCTAAAAAAAGAGAAATAACAAACATAAATAGTTGTAAAATGCTTTGATTTCTTTAATAAAATTGAAAATGGAAAAACAAGAAACGGAACTTTACCAAAGAGGCTCCGTGATTAAATTGTTATTGAGATGTCAAATTCTAAGATAGCTAGATAAAAAATAGGACATCTATTATTATTTCAATGGTTGTGGTCTGTGAGATGGCACAGACCATATAATTCTTTTCTTTTTTTTTTATTAGGAAAATTCAATCTAGCTTCCCCTCTTAATTTTACAAGTTATATCAATTTTCATAGTAAACTTTTAATTTCATCAAGTTTATCAATTTTCATTCAAAACTTTCAATTTCAAACTTCAAAGGGATTAGTATATATTTTTACTGTTGAACTATGCTTGTATTGGTGATGACACCACATGTTTTCGATACTTTTAAGTCTTGTCCTAGGCGTGGTCTCAACTCCTCTAGTTAAGTAGTTTCAATCTAGTAGGCTAATTGGTTGTTCACCCTGAGTCTTCATATTAGTGTAGGTTGGAGTCTGCCTTCATTGAATCGTCCTCTTCTATCCTATCAAAAATGTGTCTCAAGAGTACTATGAAAGATGTTTATCACACACCCCCGTTTAGAACTTGTTTGCTTCTGGCTCTTGAACCACAAATGGGCTAGAGCCTGCCATTCTGCCTAAAACTCAATCCTCAAAATGTATCTAATTCTACTTCACACACCATATTTTTTACATCTTTTGCTTTGCTTGATCAATCCATCTTTCTCAAGAGAAGAAACCCGCTCATACTTGTTAATGAACGATACTTAGCAATATTGATTAGCTGACCACACTAAAAATAAATAAAAAAAATAAAAGAATTTACAACTATTTATTTTTTGGATTAAAAATAAAAGAAAAATAACTCTTTCCTCTTTCCTTACCTACATTACCTCTCATATTTATAAAAAATTGAATGTGGTCAACAGAAATCTTCTACTGACCAATTTGTAGCTAAGTATTTTCATCCTTAATATCCAACTTCACTTTTTGTGGAGCTAAAGAATTATTAAATTTACTTTCGTCAATTTCTCCATAATTATTAAATTTTATATAAAATAATAATAATAACTTTTTGTGGAGCTAAATATTTGGCAAATGATCATACGAAAAGACAGATGTGATAGGTTGCTAAAGAATGCGGATAAATTTTATAAAATGTTTGGTGAGAAATGGAAGGTTTGTAAAAGTGTGCATCACTTTGCCGGCAAAAGAAGCAAAATAAGCCATCCACATAAAATTTTGACCCCTCTCATTGAATTACGTGGTTAATGATATTGGTAAATTGGTGGTTCATATTTGGAAGAATTAATAGAATGACTAATAGCATAAAAACGGTTCCTAATAAAGTATAAAGAAAAAATTAATATGTTCCTGTTCGACGAGAAATTCAATAAGAGAAAACCCGAATTAATGAACTTGTGTTTGTATTTATGTATGTGGGTGTTACAATCTCTAATGTATGATCCTCTGATTAATTGTCTCAGATGCGAATTTTAATTCGAGAGCTTGTGAGCTCACGTGACATGATTAGATTCGTCGATTTTAAAATTAATTTAGGACACGTGTACTTTTATTATTGATCCTAAATATAATTTTAATTTTGTCACGTGACATTTAGTAATTAGTCGAAATTTCTCATTGGACAGCTCGTTTAATTTGATCTTTCTTTGTCTCGAACTCCATATCTCTATAATAATAGTGAAGTAAGTGGTGGCCTCAAATCGAATTGACCGAATGGTAATTGGTCAGATCTCGAGTTTAAAATTGTTCCTTTCAAATTATTTAGCAAGAAATAAATATATATATTAATTATTCTTATTTTTTATTTTTTAGTTTTACCTGAATATATCTCTAAAAAATAATTTTAGACCCAACAAAATTTCTTTTAAATACAATACACCACATTTTATTTAATAATGTATCCTCTAAAAAGGTTTAATCTCCACCGAATCAATTCTTTTTTAAATATATATATATTTCATGTAATTTAATTTAATAATACATTTTTACATAAGTTATGGACCTCAGAAAATCAATCTCTTCAACCCACTAAAGAAATATATTAATATTAAAATAAATATTAAAAATTTTAAATTATTTTTATTATTACAAGAAAAAATAGTTAGATAAATCAAACCATAACAATTAAATATTGTCTCCTTAAAATTAAATGTCTATAAATTCTCATTTTTTCCCGTTTATATCACTGTCTGGTTTAATGGTATTTATGTAAGAGATATTTCATTTGAAAATATACAAAAAAAAAATTGATATGATCATTTCTAAGACATCTTTAAAATTATAGATAAATGTTGATTTTATTGGTGTAAGTTAGTATAAATTTAAGAATTTAGATTAATGTTGACTAGTGTTAAAAGTTAACTTTGAACGCATTAACGTGTAATATACTCTTGAAGAGACTCATTTCAAGCTCACAGTTTCTTTTCTCTAATACAATTGGTTTGTTTTCGAATTCACAACCTCATGGTTGGAATTACCGCTGAGTCATGTTTGCTTTGGCGTTGGTTGATCTTTCTTTTTTAATCTTGTGGACCACAATTTATATATGACAAAATATATTATCGAATTAAATTTCGTAAAACATATTTAGGTTCGGTAGAGTCTACAACTTATTTTAACTTATTAAATTAGATTTAATATATTATATTTAAAACAATAAATTATTTCGTTTCACCTAAAACTTTTTTTTAAGATAAGATCTAACAAGGGTGCAACCACGTTTGTTACGTTGTACGGGAGGCGCACCGCAGCGACCTGCGGATGCGATCTGTAGGAAAGACAAACGGGTAATAATACGATAATCGTTGTGCTCCAGGAATGTCCTCACTTGCCCGTTTAATTATCGTACAACAACCAGCCCCCACTGTGCAACATACGAAACGTCCTCCCTTGTCGGTCATAAGCACCTATAGAAAGGAAGAAGCACCACCACCACAAGGTACTGCAACACCCTCTCACTAATTTCCTAAAGTGTTCTCTACTATATTTCTCTTTGATTACTAACTTGAGCGTCAGAATCATTTAGGAGGCGCATCGCACCAATGTTGAGGATGTTGTTGCAGGCCTTATTTGTCTGACGACAACTCGTTCCGAATGACACGTGGATTTCTCTAAAGCTCGCCATCAACCACATCACGTTTTTCGCCCATCAACCACATTAAAATTTTCACTCTCAATAAAAGAAAACATATATACTAAATCTCTCAACTTTTGATTTTAGAACTAAACTTTAAAGGACAGGTTTTCAAGTAAGCTCCCAATTTTTATAAAAATTTTTATTTTTAGTTTGTTTTATTTTTAGAATAGAAAATATTTATATTGATTAGATTTTACTTGATATCAATAAACAAACAAATGCGTTGTTATCTCAAGAAGAAGAGTTGTGATACTAATTTTAATAGGCATAATAAACAGCAAATGAGTTTTAAAAAGATAATAACAAAAAATTAAACATAACTAACAAAAAAGAAACAAAAATAGCAAATGGAATTTTTATCACAACATAAAAAACTGTAGAAAAAGAGAAATTGGATTAATGCGAAAAAAGAGAGGCATTGGACATTCGTGGGTCACAAGCCGTGAACTGCCGACGTTATCTTTTTAAATATATAGAGATGCATTTGAATAAAAACAAAAAAAATCTATCCTATTTATTTTAAAAAAAAAATTAATAATCTGTCCTATTTTACTAAATAATTTGAAAGGTATCCATTTTTTATTATTATACTATCTTACTTTTTAATTAAACATGGTTACATCGTATAAAAAAAATCTTATATTATTAATGTTTGAATAAGGTTCCATTCACTTTTAATCACCTCACCCTATTCATAAATACGAGATCATAGCCATAGTTTGAATATTAAACCTCATTGTTTCAATCAAAATTTTAAATATTAATGTCGATTGAAATGTCGAGATCTCAATTTCATGAAAATATCGATATTAATTAACAATAAATAATTTTCTATTTATAAATAAGTTTAAAATGATTAATATTAATATTATTATATACATTAGTGATATTTTGTTGATATTTTTGTATTTAATAAATTTTTTTATAATATAACGAAAATATAGATCTATTCCTCATGTCGATATCGCATAATACATAAAAATATCAATCGAAAAATATTTAATGTAATGGTTTCAATATAAAAGTTCCAAAAATGGTTGGAGGGAGATCACATCAGCTTTAATTCAAAGAATAAATTAAAATAGTTAAAACTTTTTGCTTTAATAAATGAAAGTGAAATAAAAGTTACCACAAGGCTGCGACGT